ATATTGATGCTGTGACCAACAGGAGGTTGTTAGTGAATATATATATATATATATATGTGTATCTTACTTTTAATTCAGTTGTAAACCTTGTGAGAGAAGGGAAGCAAATGGAAAATTCTTTTGGACAATATTGGAAACAGAAAAGTGTTCAAGGAAAGTAAAATTAGAATTCTCACCCTTCATTTATCATCCAAATAAATGACTTACCAATGCTAATGGCTATGAATTTAAAAAGGTTTGGAGAAGGATGCTTCTTTGAAACCTTTAGCATCTCTTGGCCCCACATGCTTAGTCATCTTTGAGTCTTGAAATCTAATGTCTGCAAATTAAACAGGTAAACAGTAAAAAAAATTGAGATGAAGCATCACTTCATCCTTAACCTCTGTTTAAGAAAAAAAGAAGACATTATGATTGTTATGCATTCACTTCTTTTTCATAGATGAGTCAGAAGAAATGCAGAAGGACTGTAATGAGAGGGGATGCAAACTGGAACTGCTGTTTCTAATTTCACAAGTTAAAGAGTAGTAAATAATGCAGAAATATCTGTAAAGCCCCATAGAGGTTTTCTTGGCCTGATGTGCTTTTTTCTGTGAACTAAAGCTTCTAGTTATGAACCGCTGACAAGTTGATTACAAATGACTTGGCTGTTCCCTAAATACTTCAGTCTTTGTTCAAGTAGTTTGTTTCACTCCAGTAATAATCTACTCCATGCTTTTTAATTATTTCATCTATTTATGGTTTAACTTTTGTTTTTTGAGTAGGTCTGGGGAGAGCAGTATTAAAAAATTTCAGTAATTCCTGCAAATTGTGAATATCATGGATCAATTTTTTTAAATCCTACATTTTATTTGGTTAGTTTTCAGGTATGTTTTCTCCTACTAAGGTTTGCAAAAGACAGTGTTTTCCCTCTGGCATAACATACTATGAAAGGCAGCATTTTCCTTTTCTATATTATTTTTAAAAGTATTTTAACGATTTAATAGTCAATTTTTATTGGATTTTTTTCTCTCCATGTTTCAGCAAAGTGTTTGGACAACAGATATGTTAATAGGTTGTGAGTTTCCAAATAGATTTTATTATTACCAGATTTTTCATGGATTATATAGGGGTGGCAGGTAGAAAGGAGAATCCTGCTTTAATACTTTGATTTATCTTTGTTAATGATTTGTGCTTTTAATCATTATTATTTTTTTATTTAAAGCAAACTTTTGGATCAAGTAATCCACATATATGCTTTTAATCCACCTTAGTGCTTTTTGACACTTTGTTGCTTTGTAATTTCCATTTCAATGAATAGCATAGCATGATCCTTGATTCAGTAGAATGGGAAAGTTTTATTTAAATGAAGATGTTTGCACTCATTCATTTGCATTTCATATTTGTTTTCAAAATTCAATTGCAAGCTGAAAGTTTACCTGTTCTCTTTAGTAAAATGTGCATCTAAAATCCAGGCAGATTAGACTGGACAATTTTGTTCTTACTTTGCTGCTGTTTGTCTTGCTCTCTTCCAGAATGAAGGTGCTCAGAAAAGGTTTAATATACCAGCCTGGTATTCTTCAGTCTTGTTGAATCTTAATCCTCAGTTTCAATTAGATAGTTGAGAAATTAGGCATGTTAAACTTGAGGCTGACATTTCTCATATTCATTTTCATTTTGAAAGCACTTAAATGCCTGGTGAAATAAATGCAATATTTAAAGTTTTATAGAAATCTAGTTTGATATGGCCAAAATTATAAAACCTAAACAATTGTTTATTTTCCTACTTAACTATAAATAATATTTCCTTCTACTTATTTTAAAACAACCCTCCAACAAACAGCAGAACAAAACCCCTTTAAAAAGTTTTGTTTTCCTGCAAAGAAATGTAACTAGTGTAGGAATTCTCAAGCATTGGGAGATTTTTCAGTTTATAACTGACTTATGATAGAGGTGATGAAATGGATTTAATTTTTAATATGCCCATTTATATTGAGTATGATCTATGGAGAATTAAGCAGTTAAATAAAACTTGAATGGATTGACTGTTTTGTAGGTGAAATGTGAATGTTACATTTGTTCCCATGCTATGATGGAGTATTATTTATAAAAGACCTGAGTCTGTTTCGGTCTCTTTGTTCACAGAGAATTAAGCAGAGGCAGAAAGTAAATATTGCAGAGCTCTTTCATTCACAGATTGCTTTTTTCTTTTGCTAAATAGGGTCTTCTGTAGGGGAAAATTTCAATTTTTAATTAAAGATTAAATTGTGGTATGTGTATATATATTTATATATTTTCATTTCTCACCATGTACAAATGGAAAATAGCTGACGGCTGAACTTTAGTTGGAGTCATAGGGTATGTTTTTAACAGGGATGTGGCTTTACTTAGGTATAACTTCATTTCTATTTCTGAACGTGCCCACAGTTGTACTGATGTTTTTACAGTTTTGCAGGAAAAATTTTGTTTGAGAGATGGCAGTTAATAAGGGAAATCCTTTTTTTTCCTATGTTTAGTTGCACTACTTAAGATAAAGCAGGAGTGAAGTTCTTGAGTATCTCATGTAGCCTCTTTTCCATGTATGTGCACCATCCTCTTTTACCCTCCTTCATATACCAAAAACTAAGAGGATGTGGTGGCTGCAGATATTAACTGTCCATAACTTCTAGGGCTTATGAGTATGATCTCTACACATAAGCATTTATTCTGCAATATGTTCTGTGTAACGTCATCTCCAGCCAGAACTAGGTCAGTCATCTAATTCTGTGTTTAAATAGATGGGAAGATTTATACCAAGCTTTTATAGTTCAGATAAGTAAAAAGACCTGGTTTTTATGTCTCCATTAGTGATAAATTGTGAGATTATCATGTTTTATGTTTGCTGTTTTCTGCTACTATCACTTCTAGTGCATCACGTAAGATTAATCATTCATTGTTTTAGAAGTTTAGACAAAAGTCTAAATGGAATACATTTAAAATTAAATAATGCCAATTAATTATTGATAGTAAAAACTTGACACATTATTTTGCAAAATGTAAATTAAAGTATTGCCTTAAAAATTATATTAACTCAGATAAATATTAGAGCTTACAGTATAAAGTGAAATGTAGAGGAGAAAATATTACATTTAACAGTGGTAACAGTGTATTCCCAGTCTAACAGATGAAAAGATGAACTGAATCATTCTTCTATGCATCCTTTCATTTACTGAGCTTCAGAATGTTTGGGAGTAAATAACTGTATAGCAGGAAATTTTTATCAGTAGTCCAAATGGTCTTTTGATGTAATGCTCTGTTATGGGAGATCAGAGTGAAAACAAAAGTACCTACAGATTACATGGAACATATAATTATGTCAAGTTGAATGGCCATGTGCTGCAGAAGCAACATCAGGATATGTTTTCAGAAATTAATTTAAAAAACATATAGACATCTCTGTTTATCTTACAAGCATTAATGCTTACAGGCTGGCTAGTTGCCTTCATTGGTGCTTCCAAAATGTTTTCTGTATGTAAAAAGGAAGAATAGCAGTAATGGGGAAATAAATTCAGAATTCTGCACATATGATAGCAAAGAACTTAAAAGTTGAGTGAATCTGAGAATAGTTTTAGCAGCTTTACTCCAAAGTGATGAAACATTTTTGTGACTTTTGTTAATTTATTGATAAATAATGTTTGAATTATTTCTCATCATGTTAAGTACTAGGCTAAACTGAAGAGACTCACAGAATATGTTGTGCACAGTTGGATGATGTGATTTTTATGAATTCTAAATTTTTTTTTTCCCCAGCCGTGATTAGTTTATTCTGCTCAGAGGAAATTCTGTTCCATCCTTATGATAGGATAATTCTGTAGCAAACCACAGTAAACAATGCACTTTCTGAGGAAAAAACACATATCACAATTATCAACCTATTTAGCAATGTTAGATTAAAACTACACTGAAATTTTGCATTGGGCAAGATTGATGCAAATTCTTGTAAAAAGGTTTGACTGGATCATCAGAGTTAACTGCTACTTGAGCTGATGTTTATGGTCAGTATATCTGGAGGGAAGAATATTTTGACATATATTTGTATTTGGTGCAAAGAGCATGCATCATCTTTCCATTGTTTTTTCTCATTAAAAAATACCTGTGTGAAAGTAAAACTTTTTACTTGAAACAACTTTGATATATTTGTAAGCATAATTGGTTTGGTTTTTTTTCCCATGTACACACACACATACACTATAATTACAGTGCCAGTTAAACTAGCTTTCTAAATTCTTAGTAGCATAGGCTGTGTTTTCAATAAAATGTTAGTTCCAATTCCTTTTTTAAGTAGTTTTTGTGCTACTCAACAAAACTGCAAAGGAAACATGTGGGGACTTAAATATGTTTTTTACCTGAAGCCCTTTATAGATGGGCTATAAAAGCACACTGTATAACATAATAAATTGTATGGAAAGGAACCACATGTTTTCCTGGTGGAAAAAATGCATTTTAGTCATCTCTGTAGTGTGTTTATATCCATATGGCATATTTTTAATCCTGGTTACTTACCTAACCATTCTTTCAATTCCTGTGTAATATGTCAAATTTTCATACTTCAGTGAGGGCTACATCTTCTCTGGGAAGATTTCTTGCTGTTTAGGGTCAATAGGCTTAAAAAATGCTAAAACAAGGAAGATACCCCAGATCCACGTTTCACTCTGTGGATTTTTATTTAGAGGTGATGTAAAATAAAATGGTCCCTTGCCTTTGCTACAGTAATTTCTAAAGCATGGAGACATGTATTTTTTTAAAAATTTCCTTTTCCCACCTGAATGCATGTAAATCACCTCTATGAAATGTGAGTCTCACAATAAGAGATCCAGAGATCCAGAAAACTGGGGGAAAAAAAAATAACCAACCTCCCCTCCTGCTCCATAAAAATAGTTTCTTTGTGAGGTTTGTCTCCCTGAGGAACTTACTGATACTTGGATACTCTGTCATGTGTAATTGGATTGTAGCTGTTTCTGAATACTGTTTTCTCCTCTTGACAGCATGGGGTAACCTTGGAAATGTTCTCAAGAGCCAGAGCAAGATTTCTGAAGCTGAAAGCGCCTATAGAAATGCCTTGTACTACCGCAGCAACATGGCTGATATGCTCTATAATTTGTGAGTATGTGCGCCTTTCCTGAGGTTGAATTGTCTTTGAAACCTGTTGTGAATGAAGCTATTGATTTACTTCCTGGAAAGGGAGACGATGTTATTTGTTGCTTTCTAACAGTCATTTCATTAACTGTGCTCCTTAAACTATGGGGTGGACAAGGTTTTTTCTTGGTCAACATTATTGTAGTTTTCATGTAATGGGTATGAAGAAGGTAAACTTACAGTCTGCTTTAAAAGAATAAAAAAAAAAACAAGCCCACACTAAACAGAGTACCAACAGATGAGTTGTCAGATGTGGCCCTCCATCTGTTTAAATTGTAGAGGTGTTATTTAGACTTCTTTTTAAAGTCTGAATAACACTTGGTGGGAGGAGTGTATGTAAGCCCTTCCAAGCAAAGACCAATACCCCTCTGTTAGCTCCAGAGGTCTGAAATGTTAAAACAGCAAATTACTTTTCTCCTGTGTACTGACTTCAGAGCAACATAGGTTAAACAAAGTTTAATTACTAGAACCCTGTTGTAAGTGGGTAAACGGATAAATAACATGAGCATGAAAATAATTATACAGCAGGGAGAAAGATTTCCTAACTCATTAATGTACCAGATCATGAACACGGAAGTGAGTGTCATAATAAGCTTCTCACTGAGGTGAGATCATGCTGCATGCCCTGACAAGGAGGAGACTGATTCTCTGGCTAGATATCCCACCTGCTTCCTGCTCAACTCTGCTTGTTGTGCTGGCGCTCACCCTTCCTTCCCTCCTGCCATGACCCAGCCAACCCAAGCCCCCAGAGTGGGGCTCTGCTACAAGACAGGCTCGTCACCTCCGCTAGGCATATGCTCTTGATTCATGATGTGTGTGCAGGACAAAATCCAGGTGACTGCCATTCCATAGGTAGTAGTATGAAAATATTGTCCTGAGTACAGTACAAAAGTGTGAATGTTAGACAATCAAAATGGCAAAACTAAATTCAAATAGTAAGGCTCATCAAATAAATAAACAAAGAAACAAAAAACTTTTGCCTGTAGGTCCAGTTTAAAAGGGCCACTTATAATATCTGAAAATTAAGTTTACATGATTTTCTTATCTGTGTTAGGCAGTGAAGAGTACACAAAACATATTTTTAAGAAGATACTCTTTTTGATTACGTTTAAAAAATAGCTTCTGAATGCAGCAGAACATTGTAGGAAATAAAGTGACAAGATTGATACTTGTACATTACTCATATGCCATTCATTTTGGAAATGAAAATTATAACTATTAAAATCCTTTGAATACCTATACAGTACTTTTGTCTCTTACTCACTGTGTCATAGAGGGAAACTGAAATTAATACCAGGGTAAGAAGAGGAAAGGGGGTTGGGCAGTAAAGACAGGGATATAAAAGAAAAATCACATTTCAGTTGTTTTGCCATTCTCAGAATAAACTGCTAGTCTTCCAGGCTTCCATTGATGTACAAAATATATGCTTATAAACCTTCATCTCTATTATATAGAGATATAGATATAATAGAAATTTTTTTTAAATTCTATTGAATTTGTGTGGAAGGAATTTGACTAAAATGCTGGTTGAAATATATAGGGCACAAAGTCACCTTAAATACACCTGTGAAAGTAAAGGCAGTTTAATTCTTAACCTAGGAAGGTTAAGAATTATATATTGAATGCCATAGAATCCTTTATTTTTTAAAAAAGCTTCATGAAACCATTAGTTATTCAACAATAGTTGAAAAATCTTTCATAATTTTATTAGTTTTATAGTCTTTCTCAGTGTTGGGTGCTTCAAGATCCACCATGAAAACTAGGTGGTAAATGGAGTTCTTTGATATTACAAGATTTCAGATGAATGTATTACAATATGCCTTTAATCAGGTACCTTCAAGAACACATTTGAAGTGTCCTCCTATAAATAACTTCTCTGACATCTTTAGACTGCACTGCAGGTAATTTTTACAAACAAATAAATCTCCAATCCAACTTCTTAAAGCTATGCAGCACTGCTGATTCCAGCTAGATTTCATAGGGTAGTAAATCAGCATGAATGGAGCTATCTTTTTATCTTTTTTTTTTTTTTTTTTTTTAAGTCAGAAAACTGTGTATTTTAATACTGTGAAGTACCAAGGACAGAGCTATCAAAAAATGATAGTTTATTCTTCCAAACAAGGGAATGTTCAGTAGATTAAAAACAAACTAATTTACTTTGTTTTGGCTTTTCAATTTTTGTTGCCCTATGATTGTTACCTAAAGCTCATGGGGTTATTTTTATTGTCTGGAATTGCTTCTAATTCATGTCTAAAGTAAAATTGCTTAACAGATAAAAGAGAGTTTTGCATACATTACTTCACTTGTATTTAGACCTGGCTGCTTAGAGTATTCTTTTGTCATCCATATTAATATTTTACATTACCTTCAGTTTCTCAGCTGATTATAAGGATGTTCTCAATCTGACAGAAATATTGAATATTCTTTTAAAATTATACTAATTACTTGAAATGTTGTATTTTTGAAGTATACAATACCCTATAAACGCTGACTTTCTACCAAAGAACCATCCCCTTGCTGCTCTTCTGAAATATCTCATTTTGCCTTTAGTGATACAGGGCTGTGTATACAAGTTCATCATTGAAATAAGTTAATTTCTTTGAATAAGGTTGTATTATGAATTTTCATAAAATTTACACAAGAAAACTTAGGGTATTACAATAATATGTATTATATTTCTGTTAGGTAAAGTCTCCAATAGTGGCTGAAATTTTTATCTTATAAAGTCTAGGATTGCAGAAGTGGTTTGCGTGCAAAGTTTAACTCTGCATCCTTGGGTAAAAATCAATACGAGCAAAGTTCTTCCTTGCCTGTTGTTGTTAGCCTATTTAACATCTGAAAATGTGTTCCCTGCCTTTTAAGGCTTCTGGTGTAAAAATCTCCTTATCGGATACAAAAAACACTAAAAGCAGGCTGACCTACAAACCTGTGTTGAACTGTTTTTGAACCTGCCCAGACAAAATTCCTGCAGCAACCGTGAAGTAGAAAACAAGTCAAGGTTATGGTTCCTCTTCCTTCATAGCCCAGAAGTTTTTATCATTCAGGATGTCGAGTTAAAAAGCAAAGAGGATGTGTCATCTGGTGTCTGTCCAAGTACTTGGTTATTGTTTTTCTCAGCCGTGAATGCAAACTTGTTACAAACCTGTCTGGAATTAATCTCTGCTTTGCCAGCTAGTTCTTTGTCTATCAAAGACAGAGGCTAAAATTTGTGTCCTGCTGTAACCATGCTTTGATAAAATGTTGCTCTGTTGTGAGTGACTAGTGGTATCCTGCAGTTCAGAACTCTGCTCTGGGACATTTTGTAGGGCCTATATGAAGTACAGATATTTTTCGAAGTAATATTGAGAGGTGAAAGGCATTCATGACCTAGCTATTCAATTACACGTGTCAATATTTGAAATTGTGGTCATTTATAGTCCTTACATAAACTTTCACCATTTTATAAAATTAGGAAAATAATTGTTTGGGTCTGCCATTCAGTTTCAAAAAAGGCCCCTCTTGTAAGAAGTTCTGTCCAGCTCTTTATCTATGTTGACTACTGGGGCTCATGAGGGGGAATAAAAATCTGGTTTGAAGACTGCAGACATGGCACAGCCCTGCCCATTGTCCAGAGGAGTGAGAAGGACAGGAGCAGTGCTGTTCCTTATCCCCACACCAGTCCTCCCTCTGTCAAGGAAATGGGGGTTGTGAGAGTGGATGTGGTGCTGAATGTGTAGTAATCCCAATCAAACTGCACCAGTAACAGAAAAAAGAACAGGACGATATTTGCTGACCAATATGCTTATGTTTGGGAAGCTCTTCTCTAGATCTAGGAGAACGTGGCAGAGTTTTACTGCACTATCTGAAAGACTAGAGATTGTTTTGGGGGTGATTGTTTTGGTTTGTTTTTGTAAACTAATGGGGCTACAGATTATTGTGTTTAGTGAGTTCCACAAAGGGAATGGTCATTCTCTGTATGTTTGGATTCTTACTGAATAAAAAAGTAGGACTTATGGTAGTGTCCATACCTATCTTTCTACCCACTAGTTTTGCAAATGACAGTGAAAGAGTTGCCTTAGGCAAAGCACATCCTCTCTTGCTGTGTGGCTGGAGACACTTCTGCATGGGGAATAAAAGAGGATTATTTTGCATTTCTTTCTTTCTTTGTCAGTGCAGCATTTAGGTAAATATAGTCCTTGGTAGATAATCCCACCTGAAATCAGTGGGATGAATGTAGCTTGAGGCATGGAAGAATGGCAGTCACGGCAAAATAATAGCTAACAGGCCATGTATTAGTTGCTATAAACGAGTAAAGAAAAATCGATTAACCTATTTCAGTATTGTACCTGGCTATATTTTGTAGATGTTTCACTAATATACATGTTTACTTTGACAGTTACAGTCCATTTATGCCAGCTTTAGTCACAAAGGAGTTTGCTTTGTAAGTAGACCAGCTGGCTTTAATAGGGACTACCAACAGGAAGAAATTAATATGTAACTTGAGAAAAAGGATACCTGATCTACCCCCTGTTTATATTCTGTCACTGCCTTCCAGTCCTCAAAAACATTTTTGGGCCATTAGTATTTAGTGACTTTAGTCAAAACCAAAGCAGAGGAGGAAGACAGGAAGATTTTTCATTGTTGGTCAAGCAAGATACGTAAAAGTTGTCAGCTTAAAGAATTCAGGAAGGTTACAAAGAATTCACTTGGAGGAAATGTTTTCCTGCACGTATTAAATGAGCAATTCTATCTACAGAGGTGATGTGCATCATTTCTAGATAGTCAGAACTTGCTTTTCATTTGTTTTCCATATTTTTATTTGTCTTCCTACTAGAAAAACAGGATTCTGAGCCACTTCCCAAGTCACTTGGTAAAGTTTGTTACTCATGCAAGCAGTTAGCACATATCCCCCATTTCATAAATTATTAACACTCCACTGTAAAAGTAGCTAGAAGTAATGCAGGCAAAAAAAGTCCTGTTGTAACATTCCAGAACCTTGCTACTTATGATAGTTAGAACTTACCTCCTAATTAATCCTAAATACATTTATGGACAGTTTGTAACTGTCTACTGTGTGTCCTATGGTTTAAGTAGCTTTTTCTTTACCAAGTACTTTCATCCTCATGGTACAGCAATAAGATAAGAAAACAAAGAGTAACAGCAACAATATCAATGACAGAGGGTACAAGAAAGGAACAATTCACATGGAAACCCCCCAACAACAGGCAATACCCGATGGCTCCCTCTGCCACACTGCCCCCACTGCTCCCTCTGGCTCAGAACCAGCGTTACCCAACCACTCTCTCCAGCTCAGAACTGGGACCACTCCACCACTCCTTCCACCACACTTACTTGACTAGAAGGAACCCCTTTCCTCCCACCTCTGTTAGTCATGTGAGGTGGTATAGAATAACCTTCAGGTCCTAGACATGCCCCTTCCTGGCTACTGCAAAAATTACTCCTGTCCTGGTCAGAACCAGGACAGAGCCCATCTTTTTGCTTTCTGTTTGTCTTGACAACCGTGAACAATTTTTAGGGCCAACCACTTTCAGAAGCAAACCCTGGAACTTGCTGCCTGAACTCAGCATTGCTGGAGCAGCCAGCAAGAGAGCCTTGGCAGCCAGGGAACCTTGGCATACTTCACCGGCCCTGATGTCTCTGCTGATCAGGCCCACTGATTTAGCAATGCAGTATCAAGGTTGAACTGTGCTGTTCCTCAGAACCTTGTGTCTGCCTCTCAGATGTAATGCCTAGCTGAAAATCAACACGATTTTGGGTCTTGAAGTGGCTTAGATGCTGTGAAATATAAGTGGAAAGGAGAATATAGGACCTGATTTATGGTTTTGCTTGAACTGATTTTGAAATAAACAATAGTTTGTCATTTGCTCCTAGGACTTATATTATGTTTTTCTCAAAAGATGAGTATTTATAAGAAGCCTGTGGTTTTTATCTTGTAGAAACTGGAGGCAGAGGCAAATATTGCTCATTTATATTCCTCCTATGTGGTGAATGAGACAATAGACCTGTGGAAGTAATAGTGGGAAATAATGTAGTTGGAGACTAGGATTATAATACATCCTCTAAAATAAGAAGTGGAACATTTCACAGACAGTATTAATTTTGGCAGTAACTAAATTTGAAGTGTTTGGTTTTAATTTTAACTGCATTTTGTCAGTAATTAGATAGAGGTTATATGCCTGCATTTTATTTGAGCTTAAAGCTAGAGAGTATGTGATTTTTTCACGTATGCTTTAAGCTCTTCTAATATTCTTTGTAAATTTAGGAATCTTTTGCAAGTTTAATGCAATGTTCATCATCTTAACTTTTTATGTATTTAAATAACTATTTATCCCTTACTGAGTGAACATCAAAGTAGTTTATCTCAGAAGCATACTCATCAAAGTGTCAACTGTATTCAACTAAAAGTGGTTTGTTTTTTTTTAAAAAATTCCTTTAAACTTTTTCCTGACTTTTTTTAATCTGAAACTAGAACTAGAGACTCATAAATCTAGTAATTTTTGTACTGCCAGAAGCCACAGTGAAAACTAGCAAACAATCAGGACCAATTTCACAAGGAGAAGAGGCAGTGTCATGCCTTATTAAGATTTTTTAGGTTATATCCCACTTCTTTTTCTCTTTCTTCTACCAAACCTCATAACAATATAAATAAAAAATGAATTATTTGCTGGAATTCAGCACCCAGTCTTGCATCTCAGTCAGCTTGGGTTATATATACGTGAGAGAGAGAAAGAGAGACTGACAGACAGACTGACTGTTAATGGAAACAGATAAAAGAAAAAAAGTCTTTTGGAAGAGAAGTAGAAAAAAACCCAACTTTAAGTATCAAGTAATTAATCAAGACTGGCAGTATTAGAGCATACAGTGAACACAGAAGATTAATTTGTAATAATTACAAATAAAAATAATTTTAATCCCAAACCCACAAATGTTGTACACTTACCAAAGTACTTTGTGTTGTTGAAGTTGACCGAATATTGTTACTTTTCTTAGTATGTTAAATTATTTATTCCAGAACTCAAATAAGAATGGAATTTCTTTGATAAATTGTTCCAAAATTGTGTGGGTTTACTTTTTAAAAAATTAAGAAGCAGCTTAAATGTCAGACCAGGCACCTCATTTATTTTTCTGTTAATTGTACTGCTGTCAACAGAAAACAGGATCAAAATATCATAATTAATTTTCCTTGGAGTAATGACAATCTATAAAAAGTTTTACTCTAAACAAGATTCAGATTATAGAAAATTTAGAACATGTTATTTCTATCCACATGATCATACTGCTTGCCATTTGCAAGATACTTAACAGTAGTTACAAAGCTTGGTGCCATGCCAAAAGGTATCCTGAATGTTATTCCATCATTGCTCACATTACTGCAAGTACTAACTAAATGTAGATTCTGTTACTATTAAAAGTGATTTTCAACCTAATCTGAAGTTAATCGGGAGAGAGTTTCAAAGTGAGGTCATGTGGTGCTGTTAGGATAGATTACAAGAAAAAGAGGATATATACCTCCATTCTGTTAAATCCTAGCCCAAGGTAGCAAACAACATGGATGGTGGTTATTTCTTTATCTAACTGCCTTTCTCTTTTCTACCCCTGAAGTTTGCTGGTTTAATTCAAAAAGTTTTTCTGACATGTTGAAGGATAAAAAAAATCTTCTCTGATTAGAGACTGGAGATGGAAGAAGTCTAAGCTCTTCGCAGTTCAAAAAGCTATCAACAGATAAAAGCATGGAGGAGGAAAATTGCTGGAGGTTAGAGAAACTACAGATAGATGCGATGCTGCTCCCACCTAAGAGAAATAGCCACATTTTCCTAAATATTTTGAGTTCACAGAATCATAGAATCAACTGGGTTGGAAAAGGCCTCCAAGATCATGAAGTCCAACCCTTGATCCAACACTACTGTGGTTACTAGACCATGGCACTCAGTGCCACATCTAATCTCATCTTAAAAACCTCCAGGGTGGTGAATCCACCACCTCTCTGGGCAGGCCATTCTAATATCTCATTACTCTCTCTGTAAAAAATTTCGTCCTGATATCCAACCTAAACCTCCCCTGGCAGAGCTTAAGCCCATACCCTCTTGTCCTACTGCTGGTGGTCTGGGAGAAGAGACTGATGCCCACCTGGCTACAGCCTCCTCTCAGGTAGTTGTAGAGAGTGATGAGGTCACCCCTGAGCCTCCTCTTCTCCAGACTAAACAACCCCAGCTCCCTTGGCCTCTCCTCACAGGGCTTGCGTTCCAGACCCTTCACCAGCCTCATTGGTCTTCTCTGGACCTGCTCCAGCACCTCCATATCCTTCCTCAACTGAGGGGCCCAGAACTGGACACAGCACTCCAGATGTGGCCTCACCAGCATTGAGTGCAGGGGCAGAATCATTTCCCTGGTCCTGCTGGCCACACTGTTCCTGATCCAGGCCAGGATGCCACTGACCCTCTTGGCCACCTGGGCACACTGCTGGCTCACGTTCAGCTTCCTGTCAATCCAAACTCCCAGGTCCCTTTCCGCCTGGCTGCTCTCCAGCCACTCTGTGCCCAGTCTGTAGCACTGCAGGGTGTTGTTGTTGAGTTATATTACAAGGGACATTTACCCCTGAATAATAAGGTCTGAGTCTCTACTCTGAAATTACTAGTTTTTAAGGATTTTTAAATCCTTCTGGTTGGTTAATATATTTAATATATATTAAATCCTTCTGGTTAATATATTTCTATATGCTTTTTTCAGTTTTCTAAAACTTTAGGAACACTGTAATGCTTTGTGCCTTCAAAAAGCATATAATTTGCATTCATGTCAATGGTGTCCAGACCACTTATTTCTCAGAAATTTGTGAGTGGTTGGTGTAAATTGTAATTAATAAGGATGTTTGTCTTAAAAGCTAAGTTAAAGCTCATGTATTATGGAACTGAAGGTATTCAGTATAATTTTTAATACCTCTTCAGTTAGTAAAATTGCTTAGAACATAAATACTGCAGGAAAAGTGTAACTGTTGTAAGTGCTTAGCTGTACAGTGAATAATCTAGTGAAATAGCAAGGGAACTGGTTTACGAGACACATGTCAAGTGCTAAGTAGTTAACTTTATCATGCATTTGAAAAACACCTGCTTATTTCAAGTCAAGAAATGATGACAGGCTAAACTTGAATTACTTAAAAATACCTCCATCGTACTCTAGCCACTTTAAAAAAATTTCACAGGCTAACATTTTCTCAACTGAGGAAATGAATCTTCTGGTTCCCAATTAAGTCAAAACAAAGCATTTAACATCTGCTTTTTTGAAGTCATATGGATGCACCTGATCTCTATGAATTCATATTTTTACACAAAATAATTTTTGCACTGAATTGTTAGTAAGAGAGTGGTTAAATCTCTGACATACCAATTGGCATATTTTTCTTTGTTACCTGAGTTTTGTTTTCAGTCTTTGTTTTCAAGTTACTCTTGGTAGTAACCTCACTCTCTTTTCTGGTTTTCTTTTTTTTTTTTCCCTTATGCAGAGGATTACTACTTCAGGAAAACAGCAGGTTTTCAGAGGCATTGCATTACTATAAACTGGCAATTGGAAGCAGACCCACACTAGCTTGTAAGTATTTCAACTATACAAACTGTATATAATACTGACTATAGTTTTATAGAAAATTTTCCTACTCTTTAATAACACTTAATTTTTCTCAGAAGTTTTTAATTCAGAAAGCAAAAGGTGAAATTGTGCACTTGAAAGCAAGTGTTTATTAGTAATCTAATACATTTAGTGGGGTACAAGGAAGAAGCACATAATTTTGAAAATTTTGTACCTTCAGTATTAGATCTTCTATATATGTATATATGCATATAAATGTATTTATGTATATGTATATTTTTGTAACATTTCAAGCAGTCGTGTTATTGCTTAATTCAGTTCTAGTAAGAAGAATGAAGTGGAGTACCCTGCCTAACCACTGTTTCTTTTTCTCCTTACTCAGTTTTTATAGCCAGTTTCTTCTTTTCTGTCTACTTTTACCTCTCATATGTTCACATGTTCATTATATGTTTATCTATAATGATAACATAAACATGGGATCTCTACCAGATGCTACTTTGAATTAAAACAGTAGATAACGCATAACAGAACTCCACTGAAAGTAAAATTTTTTTCCCTCTTCACAGCTGCCTATTTAAATACTGGTATCATCCTGATGAACCAAGGGAAGACAGAGGAAGCCAGGAGGACTTTTGTGAAGTGCTCAGAGATCCCTGATGAAAATCTGAAAGATCCTCATGCTCATAAAAGCTCTGTTACCAGCTGTCTTTATAACTTAGGAAAACTTTTTCATGAACAAGGACACTATGAGGTAAGACTCCAGATTTGTCTGTAATATCATGATAAAACTTTCATACATAAATAATATCTACTACTTCCACCTAGACTTTCAAAATGCATCATAGGCACACATTTCACCAAATCAAGATTAGCATTCTCTACAGAGAATATTTAATCTCTACAGCCACAGATGTGGTGGTATTAATTAGTGTGGTATTCTCATGTCAGAGTCAACATTAGTATTAGTCACATCTGATATGTGTAAATTCATTGGTTTTGGCTTTGAACCTGTAGCTGGTATGCAAAGGACATAACCTGATTACAGACCAGTCAACCTAAAGTGTATTGGCTTTATAATTCCAAACAGAGTACGTCCATCCTTAGCTGGAAAAATGCTATTATGTTTGCTTTTGAGTCTCCAAAAATAAGAGCCAGTTGAAACAATTTAAAACTTCAGTGATTAAAAACATCCCACTATGTGCTATTTTCAGGTAACTTGACCTAAGTGCTAAAGTGGGTTGGATATTTTTAACATAACCATATGCTGCGTCCAAGCCATCCCATCTCATTTACATGTGCAAATGTGACTGTTGTGATTCCTCTCCATTTTCCCTGATGAATTTACTAAAACTGGACATTCACTTGAGTTTTGACCTTTGGCAGTATTTGAAAGAAAGTCATTGTTTCCTGGCATTGCCGGTAGAGCTGTGTGTGGTTTTGATCCATATAAGTGTTCCTGACCATGACAATTACCTCAGCTGTTTAAGATGAGGCATGCACAAACTCTGCAGATTCTGTGTCATCTGTCTGCTACATCCAACTCTGTCAGATGGCTGTTACTAATTGGTTAAAACACAGACAGCTAATGCACACATACAGGGAAGAGAACAGCAGCATGTTGTCTGCACAGCTGGTGTAGAGCTGAATGGTTCATATTCTTAAAATCCCTTGCACCTCAATACCTGGGAGGGACTTTAAGAATATAAAACATCATATTTCTGCCTGGTGGTCATTGCATTCTTGATTTGCTCATACTTCTAGGTTTTAGTGACTATTTGATGCAGAGCTAAAAAACTGACCAATAACCATCCAAAGTGCTGAATGAGTAAATGTGTGATCAAGTAATTTAAGGTACAGAATATTTGCAAGGGGATTCCTATTTTGGCATTCTTGACTTTATAATGAATCTCATTCTTTCTGTAGAGCAGACTTCAGTTGTGAGGCTTATGTTTTGTTATTATTTGGCAGTAGACAATGATTTCTTTATTTTTAGGTCACTTAGCGTAGCTTTTTCTTCAGAAAGTTCTTTGTCAGCAATTTGATATTGCTCCATATTCTTTGACAGCCTACAGAATTTTATATCTGCTTATAAACTCATCAGTCATTAAGGGGTATAAAAAAAACATTCTTGTTACTTCTACCTGGGAAAAGAGATGCATTATTGGAACTAATCTGATCTCTTGTCAATAAGCTTCACTGAATTTGGTAAAATTCAGGTAAAAAAACTTTTTAAAAGGAGAAATTTGAACTTTGTGTGATATTTATGGTGCTGTTGTGTTTTCTCTCTGCATCATTCATTTGGGGAAGGAAGATAATTTGGTTTTACTCTATATGTGAAAGTATGCTTTTGAAATTAGTGTTTTCCCACTTGTGTGTCTCTTTTCAGGATGCCCTTATGGTTTACAAAGAAGCAGTACAGAAAATGCCAAGGCAGTTTGCACCACAGAGCTTATATAACATGATGGGTAAGTGCATTGTTAATGCTTTAGAATGATATCTGAGGAGTCAGGCAGGGTGAAACAAAAGAGCTTAGCCAGGCAACTGGTGCTGAAATGAATTAGCTAATAAACCCCCAAAATAATTACCTTCAGTAGATACAAGTCAAACTAGGTTCAGAGCTTAAATGTCAGTAACTTCAGTGCTGGATGAGGCACAATAAATGATGAGACTATTAGATACTGGATATCTTGAAGAGTGTCGATGCAGCAGTTTTACATTTAGAATGTGTGGATTAGTGCTTTTCTCTGCCTCCAGAATGTCTCATCTACTATCTTGGAGGGCCAATGTGCAATTCATACTTGGTGTTTTGTTTTGGTGGTTTTTTATATCTCTCATATAGTCATCTTTGAAACTTTATAAAAAATGAAGTGAGATTGATTATAACATAAAATTTAGCATGGGGAATTAGTTTTTGAATTGCTTTGCAAACCAACAAGGTGTCTAAATGGGCCCTCAGAGGTGGTTGTACTTTTTTTTTAAGTTTTGCCAAAAACTTACTTCCCAGCTGATGTACTTTTGGTTAGATATCTACAGTGAGAGAATTCTTCTTCCAGCTGTCTGTCCTTCAAAATTTTAGAAGAGTCCCTTGAGTACTGCAAGAAACATCAATTTTGCTGTGAGGTGTTTTATTTAATTTCAGCTCCTCATATTCTGCCTCACATATTTATACAGGATACATTAAACAGATAAAAGAAAGAAAAAAATATTAATTACTCTTTTTAGTACTCAGATCTGTAAACAAGTGGGTAGCTTCTTATTGTTCCAGAGATGTTTTTAAGTGAAATTTTCTCTGAAAGGACATGCGTTTCTGCTAAGCAACCTCTCTGTCTGGCCCAGTACTCTGTGAGCTCCTCTCATGGACAGAAGAGGATATGAGAACCTTTACTTTAAAGTAGTTCAAAGTAAAGAAATTAAAAATATATGTGGAAACAATTAGGATCAACAGGAAGCATATGGGTTTTTTTGTGGTTCCTGCCACCAATGCCTAATGTACAAGAGAATGTATTGATTGATACCAATTGGTTTGACACAGGAGGCACCACTCACTCTTCTGTACTTATTCAGAAAAGGCATCTTTTAATAGCCCCTTAAAAGTACTAGGGCACAGGGAAAAAGTGAAATTGTAGTTGTAATTGATGCTATGTATTTGAAAAATGTAGATGTAAATGCTAAATTAAGTTCTTCTCTTGTCATAGTGACAAAGTATTTAATGTCAGTAACAGTCTAAATACTTCCTTAGCAGTTCATATGGTTCAATGGAGAGTTACTTCTCCCTGGACAATGAACTTTATCAGGTTGATGCCAAGGGCTAAAATCTGTAAAATGGACAAATTGATTATTTCATGTACTTTTATTCATAGTGAGTCTTAGTGAAATTACTGCTTTATCAGTTTTATTTATCAGCATTTGCTGATAGATTTGGTATTATCTGTATTATCAACAGTCAACACTGTGTAAATTAAGTCTCTGCTTACTTTTGGACACCAACAGGGACTGCTGTTGTAGTATAGGTATCACTCAGTCACACCTATAGTGACTGCTGAAGTACTCTTGCATTGTATTTCACAGATTATTCTGAGTAGGAAGGGACCCACAAGGATCATTGAGTCCAACTTTAAGTGAATAGCCCCTATGGGGATTGAACCTGCAACCTTGGTGTTATTAGCATCATGCTCTGACCAACTGAGCTAATTTCAGGATCATTGCAGTGCTTGAGCAAATCCTCTGAAGTTTGTCTGCCCTCTTTCTTGCAGATATGTATTTCATAATTCTGATCAAAGTGTTCCTCAGAAGTATAAAATTTGAAAAATTGAAACAATGCTGTTTCTAGCATGATGGTTTTCCCATTACAAAGCAGGGCCTGTGCCACCCTTTTTCTTTTCCCATGAATAGATGGAAACCCTTTAGATGGGGTCCCTTTAGAACCACTATGACCTATAAGTTTCTCAGGTTTTTATTTTTTTTGCCCATTGGTTACTTTTTTAGGTTCAGGAGGTGTTTCTCAGCTTCCTTTGTAAGCACAGTCCGTGACATCCAAGTTCACTCTGTTCCTGAGATTTGCATTTATTAACTCACAAAACCTTAGCAAACACAAAGACTAGCTCAAGTCCTTTGCCCGGGCTTGGCTTCTGCTATATTTCCTCCCGCTGTTCCTTAGCTCATTCTCCAGCTTCTGCTTCCTTTATGCAGCTACCAGCACTTCATGGATGTCCTAGCGGCATAACAAGCTGCAGTCAACTGAATGTACCTTAGCCCCTTATGGAGCTCTGTGAAGTTTAGCTTATCATTAACACAGGATATATTTGTGTTTTGGTCTGCTATTGTGATGGCAGCTGTTGCAGGGAAAACAGCACTTGCTTCACACTGGTTGCTGAAGTGTTGCTTGTAGGTTATGCTGCAAAAGCAATCCGAGAGGCTGCATAATGAGTTGGATAGTGACTTGAATTGAATGCAATGCAGCTGTATTAACAGGACTCAGACTGATTTGTTCAAAGCTGTCCTGTATGTGTCTACATAAGCCTACATGGCTGCAGTTAGTCTTTCCTACTTGTAATAGTATAAAGGTTAGATGACAAGACAGAGCTAGGTAGCTATGCTTCTTTATAGTGTGGAAAGGAAACCATACCTCTGGGGATTAATGAAGCCTGTATAACTTAGAAATCTATTTTAGATTATAAAAATAATCCCCTGCAAACATCCTTCTCTTCTAAAAGGAGCTGAAATGACTAGCTTAGACTTAGTAGCTTAAGTAGGGTGAGATAAATCCTAAATACCTATTCAGTCATCTCCTTGCATTGGGTGTGACAGGAGAACAAGGCAACTGCATCCATTATCAGGTGTGCATCCACTTTGCAGCTCGTATTGTGTCACGAAGTATCAGAAGGCCGACTGGGTTGTTAATTTCTGTTTTGATGTTCAACACAAAATTATAAACATGTTCACTATAACACTTTCTTTGATAAACAGCGTTACATAAACTTGTCTGCTTACTTCTCGGCTTTAAAAGGGAGACCTTTAAAGTGGAACTGAAATAGGCCAGTCCTGTCTCGTTGCACTTGCAATCTGTCTGAGCTGTGCCCACTCACTGTATGCTCATTGGTGGGGAGGAAGGGGGAGAAACTGGGGAGTGCTCCCCATCTGCTTAAGATCTAGTAGAAGGAAATAGTCCTTCCCCATTTCCCCACATGTGGAAAAAGTCATCACAGCTTGTCATGAAATCCAAGAATAGTTACAGTTTGAGGATTATCTGCTGTGGTTGTTATTGAGGTTAATGTATTCTGAGTCTCTGGCAATGTCTCTGCTTGGTTGAGTGGCGCACATATTACCACATATTGGCATATGATAAAAGAAAACAGTGCTTCCTCTCATTTTTTAAAATTATTCAATCATGTAGTTGAAGATTCTTTTGAGTTTTTTCCCCCTGTATGATGTCCATGACCTATTTGAAAGAGAATAAACAGGAGATAAACTGTTTAAACTGAATTAGGTTTGAACTCCAGCACTCTGAGTGCGGTAGTATTAACACTCCAGCAGTGCTAAGCCTTTACACCACCTGCTTTCCCTGTTTGTGTTGCACTTCTTTTCCTGTGCTTGCTTCTATTGGCCTTTTGGTCTGACAAGCCTAGTGGCTCATTCCTCTGGTGTGTCAGTCTTCCTGACAGACTCTCATCCTTTAAAGCGCTAAATAACTTGTCTCTTTAAGGGAAAAAGAAGTATTGGGGCTCAAGAAGCAAACCATCCATTTGACTTTGCATTTTATTCATGGTACAAAAGACAGGGCCAGAATACTGGCATCAGATGTTCTACGTTTGTGCATATGAAAAGTTACAGGGAAGATTTTGGTCTCCTGTTGCCATGATTTATTTTGCCAGGTGTGCAAAAACTCAGCTAAGGAAACCATATGTTTCTCTGGCTTTGTACCAAGAAATAAAACATTTTCTTTTTTTTTTTTTTTTTTAAATTTTATTTTTAAAGAACCCAGAACAGCTAAAACTTGAAACTCTAAAACTAGAATCAAAATAATTATTCAACAAGCTGTATAGTGTTGGCTTAGTATTTATTTTCTCTATGTCATATTTCTTTGATGTAAATTAAAAAGTACATGCTAAGGTTACACAGATTAATTTGCTTGGCATGGCAACTTGCACTACAAAGATCAGAGTCCAGCTCAGCTGTATTAAGTAGGTAATATATTTTGTTTAAAGTTTCAATTAAAGCCTGAGGTCAAAAGATAAAATGGTCTCGGTGGGATCTTGAATGTTTTAATGCCAATATTAGGATTGCTTAAGGATCAGCCTCTGCTCTAGATGTCTTTTGCATTCCTTGAAATCTGATATTGTACAGTTGATTGTATTACATTGCTTTTAAAACCACACTAGCCCACCTGCTACAGTAATTCATACTCCTGACAGTTAAGTGGTGTGAGGTGGACCATGGAGGCTTTATTTTAATACCAAGCAGTAACAAGAAAGATGTTAGGGTGGCATTGTTCAGGTTTAGGTTGTCAGGATACTGTCTTAAAGACAAATGTCTTGATTACATTTCATCTGCCCTTGCTAACTAACATCTGAGTTTCTGTTTTCAAATGCGTTTGATGGAAAGCCTTACAAACATTTTTTATGGGAAATGCAAATTACAAAAGAAGCTAACATTCCAGGAGCGAATACAGCTCATGATGCACAAATTAAAGTTTAGATTTCTCATTGCTAATCTTCTGCATTGCACATGGACAGAAAACAAATCATACATAAGTGTACAGACCAGAAAAGGGGAGCCAGATTTTACATCTGGCTGTTGCAGAGCTTTATATCGTAAGTAAAAAGGCTTAGCATGCAGAGAGATTTCTGTTTTGATGACTATAACATAACTATCACTTTGATTTTGCTTTTGGGTGGATGTGGCTGTTTCTACAAACCTGTTAGTATTGTTAAGGCTCCTATCCCATTTACCCCTTGCTCCAATTAAA